TATTCCCATCTATTCCCTTTTATTCCCTTTTATTCCCTTCTATTCCCTTCTATTCCCTTCCATTCCCATCTATTCCCATCTATTCCCTTCTATTCCCATCTATTCCCTTCTATTCCCATCTATTCCCATCTATTCCCACCCATTCCCTTCTATTACCTTCTATTCCCTTCTATTCCCTTCTATTCCCTTCCATTCCCTTCTATTCCCTTCTGTTCCCTTGAACCCTTCTATACCCTTCTATTCCCTTCTGTTCCTTTCTATTTCCTTCTATTCCCTTCCGTTCCATTCTATTCCCTTCTATTCCCTTCTATTCCCTTCTGTTCCCTTATATTTCCTTCTATTCCCTTCTGTACCCTTCTATTCTATTATGGTACATATATGGCTCAATAAATACTTGGTACACCAGTGGTACAATATGCAAGAAAAACATGTTGTTATTATTTGCTTGCGTAATGTACCACATGTGTCCCAACATTTTTCTTGCAGCTATGCAAAGCTATAATGCCACAGAGCTGCACACACCTCCTCTTGTCACGGCCAATGGCGCCTAACTGAAGCAGCAACCACTGAAAGCCTTCCGCAATAAGGGAATACTGGGGAAATCTGGATACGCGGGGAATGTGTTAAGTATACTGGTATTTGCCAATTTCAAGTGGTAAATAAATTAATAGATGATTAAATTAAGAAACGGATTTAGACACATAAAAACTAATTCCAACACAACTTGAATTGGACACACACAGCTCGCTCCAAGCTGTGTGCAAAAATTAAAATTTTCTTAATTAAAAGCTTAATAGCTGTTAATTAAAAGCCTAATTAAGTAGTGTTCAATATTCAATAGTGTTCTAATTCAAAGCCGTGTCATATTCCAATACAGCTCACACAGCGATCGGAATTCGAACACAAGGATGTCGGAATTATGTATTAGTAGAGTTTGAAGCGCGGCCGGAATAAGTCTCACAAAATGCTGAATTTAGTCACACTGACTTGCACACAGTGTCAGAATATATGGGTTTGGTAGGTTTGCATTCTAAAGGCTTTTAAATAAATATGGCAACACTTTGTGACGTTTCATCGTTGCTGGCGCGTAGTGCAGTGTTTTGAGTCACGTAACGCAAACAGAACTCGAGTAACGCATATGGTTATTTTTTTATAGTTCTTCATATCTTGATGCGTCCTTAATGTGTCGGAATATACCGCATTTACCCTACGCAAGAATTTGATTAAAATATTAAGTAGATGAGTAAATTAAAAATTAACTGATTCTAAAAATCTCTTTTTTGCTACTAAGCCTAAAATCTGCTAAAGGCATTGCTGGTCAAACATCAAATAATTCATATTCACAATGAAAGTGAAACTTGTTAGATGTCTGTCACCCACTGTGCAGAGAGTGGATGAATATTGCAAGATCTTTGACAACGCTTCAGTAGCAAAATTTACGCCTTCAGAATATCTTGCCGACACATTTAGATTGTATTTCTTGCATTTAATATATTTGTCAGTCTTCGGCCAACTATTTAGAAAAAAAGTAAGGTTTCCGGTACGTTGGATGGATCGGGATGCAGTAAGCAAAGCTTGTCTGGAAATCGGTTGCGATGAGTTCCCGCCAAAAAAATGTAAACAAAATGTAGTTGCGGTCACATTAGAGCGGTCAGACTGCATCATCACATGTTCAGTTGACACTTGCTGTACAATCGGGCTGTTTTTAGGGTAAAATTAGTTATTTGGGGTAACACCTGCATGCAACCTTGTAAATAAGTTTGTGGCTTGTAAATAGTTTTTCATTACTCAGCGTAAATGGCTTTTCATTAAAAATTACCTGGCGACACCTTTTGAAAATGGTCGGCGATGCTTTGGGCTTAAAAACCCATATATTGGCGACACTGCTTCCACCTTCTGCACCCTGGTCTATCACAGACTGTCTGAGTATTGAGTAAGGTTACTGGTATGCTGGAGCTGCTGGATGGATCAGGATGCAGTGAAGCTTGTCCAGAAATCAGTTGCAATGTGTGTAAGCGTTTCGGTATGTGGAGAGTAAGAAATATACTATCAAAGTTGCGTGCAGCATTTTTTTATTAAAAATTACCTGGCGATGGATCTTGAAAATGGCTGGCAATGTTTTGGGCTAAAAATTCATATCTTGGCAAGTTGGCAATGCCGCTTGCACCTTGGAATCCTGTATACCAGCATTGTCATACTTGAGAATGATTCAAATCATTGGTTCAGATGAGGAAATTTATTGAAAATGAACTGGTTGTAAAAAATCTCTGGTTTGCCTCTTATGTTCAGTACCTATGGTAAAAGAACAACCAAATTGTTGGCCTATTTGGTGGTACTCAGGGCTGGAAAAGCCCTATTTTTTCTAAAGTATTGCGACTCTTATAATTTCAGTAGGTATGAAATCTTGCTGCTCTAATGTCATGTATCTTTGTTTGATTAAAGAAATCGTGATTTGCACTCTGCAAACATTTTGTTGCATAAAATTTTCAACTTCTGCAATCCTTCGACGATCCTGCTAAAATATCCTGCACAACGTAATAACAACAAGTCAATCTAAAACGTTTCCTTGAAGATCGCATAGTTGCTGTCACGTCAGAGCGGTCAGACTGCACTTTCACATGATGAGTTGCCACTTAAGTGAAGACAAATGTTAGTATTGACTGTTTTTAGGGTAAAATTTGAGATTTGGGGTAACACATGCACATTCCTTAGTAAAAAGCTTGCAGCTGCCGGCTTGTAAAGGGCTTTTAATGGGCAAGGTATGAAATTCACGGCTTGAAGAAATTAAATCACGGCTTGCAGAAATGGAATCATGCATTGCAAATCCATAAAACCACGGCTCAAAAAATTAAATCGTAGTGCACCAAGTAGATATATTCCACGCCTGGTGGTGCCTAAACAAAATGCATATATATTGCAGGCCTGAGCTGCCAGTGCCAAAACAGTTGAAAACACTAGTATATGTATAGGTTGCCATTCACAAATCCAGGTGTGGAACAGTGGAAAATGTCTTTCATTGAGACTGAAATGTGATTAATAGACCAAACACTAGAATTTTTTTACTATCTTAAACTTGCTAATGAAAGGTACTAACCAACTAGACCTGTGATAAATGACCAAAATCCAGACTGGACTGGTCAACCAGACACAAATTACTAAAATGAAAGGTTGCAAATAATCTGCAATGTCAATCAAGTAGAAGCTATGAGATTTTAGTAAATGTAAACAATACCAAAACTACCATCAAATGGGGTAATAAGGGATGGGTGGGGTAAATCAGGACAGTTGTCCCACATTTTGTAGAAATGTTGTAGCAGCTAAACTAATTGAAATATTGCAAAACAAAAAATAGTGGTGTAAAATTCAACATTTTTACTATCTATGTTGTTAGGAAGTCATACAGTTTCTACCTAGGAAGTTAGGAAATCATACAGTTACTACCTTTAAAAAATCCATGAAAAAATTGTGAAAAGTGTGATTTTGGAAAAGTACCTATACAATATGAAGCTTACATTGGATAAGGTTGTTGTAATGCACAGAGGCATGCCCATGGATATGGTAATACCATATCACATCAATAATAGGATAATGTATGAATATTGTAATATATCAATAAAGGAAAAACGGGTAAAAATCACAGAAAATGTCATTTATTCTACATCTACATCATCTACAAAGGAAGAGGATGACTTCATAGTACTGTTAGTAATGGATGAGTACACTTAGCATGCTTTAAATGTTTTAAAATTGAGTTTTATTTCAAGTGTCCTGTATTATAAAATTCTTAGGTGTAATTCAGGATGCTTTAGTTTTGTGTCCGGCACCTTATTAAGAGCATATGGGATTTTTTTGGAGATGCCATTCGATAGCCATCACAAAGAGCTTTAAAATGAACCCAAATTTGTTTATGAAATGTTTCATGGTAAGAAGTTATAAACAAAAAGCGCTCAAAACCATCCCTTTTTACCCCCGTTTGATGGTAATATAATACTCTTCTTCAACATGCATCACAATGCAAATTGCACAGATTACTAAACCACTAATTGATCAATTTATGTAATTTATTGTAATATATTACATAATATATTGATCTCAACATTATAATTTTAAATACAACTATTACAGTGAGCTAAGTTTCTAAGGCTCAGTTGTTTGGTCCCAGCATATTGGTAATTAAAAAATGTATCTGAGAGTTGCATGGTTCTTTTCACTTCTATGTGTTGTAGCAAGAGGTGAGATGCAGGTTCAACTTGAGTACCGGTAGGTAAGACATATGGAATATATGCATACAATGTTTGAGACATATTATGCCTGAGCAAGCAAAGTGTTTGAGTACTGAGATCATTAGCTAATACTGGGGGTGGCTATGGCTAGTATATACATCTATACTACTGCCTGGATGCAATATCAATAGTAGAGCTTATATATTTGGTTGTGCCACCTTGAATTGTCACTGGCATGATCTCAAGTGATAAATGAGCAGTTATTCTGATTAATATGACTTGGAAAAATATCACGTCAATATTTTGTCTAGCATATATAGTACATCTTATTACAGGTGCTTTTTATGCCTATAGTGAGGCATTGTGGTAATTGATCAGAATTTTGATGTTTGATTCTTGACAGAATAGTTTTCAGAAAATGGGATAATTGAGACATATTTTGTGTGCTTGGTACCTACTCTGGAAAAGGGTTTGTCCTGCAATATCATTTTTTCATTGAGATAAATTTTATTTTAACAAATACTTTCAACAATTTTTATTTTAAAGGATGATAATCATAATAATTGATTATGATTATTTTGTGTACAATTTATAACTAATTCTATTAACAAGTCATTAAAATTTCCAATGGACACTGATCTTTCTACCTGATGTCAATGTCATGGAGCATGAAATTGAAGTGCATCCCAGAATCTTTCTGATTCTCCAGAATGTATTTGTCAGTGCCTTCTTCTTACTTATCTGTTTTAAATTATGGTAATCTTTTGAAGTGATCTTTCATAATTTCTGATTTTTTGTTTTAATAGAAACCATAAGTCTTGACAAAAAATTGGGTTGTGATCATGATTACCCATGTGAATAGGCTCTGCTTGATACAAGCATAATCTCTAATAAAGTTGAGTGCATCATCAGTTAAATCCGGCTATATTTAACAGTAATTCTTAATAGTGATGCTACATTAATATTGAAAAAGAAATCCATTATCATGCATAACCTAAAGTTGAAAAGCATTGAAGCTCGGCAGCATCCAATACAGTTGAACTCTGCAATTTGCTACAACTCATTAGCAGAGGAGTTCTTTATTGCTGATGTACATGGACTTTCCACTTTGGTGAGTGTTCTGCTTGTATATATGATGGATTGTAGTATTTGACATGCAGATTGCCTGACCTTTTCTCAACTTTAAAATTCATTCCTTTAGTAAATTCACATAATGGTAGGTACATTACATCAATCTTCTATTAATATTTTGTTATTACAGTAATAATTTCTCAACTTTTTTCTTACATTTGGATGAAAGAATGAAACTTCATTTTTGATTGTGTCTTGGTCATAGGAATCCTTGTTCCTGCAAGATTGCATTTTTTCAATCAATTTCATTCTCTTCATATGATATAAATAGCAGTGATATTTGAAGTGAGTGGTGCAAATAGCTATGGCTAAACAAGTTTTTATTTATTTATTTTTTTGCAGTGTCGTGATGAGAGTATGAAAGATACAACAGTATTACTGGTGACTTGGAAGGATTTTGATATCTCTACTGCCTGCATTATCTCATGTGACTTCATCAATGCAAGTGTATGCATCACAACTCAAGAGGGAGATGTTCTTGTTTATTCTCGAGATACCCGAGAGGTAACTATGAAACTTAGCTGCAAAAATGATGGAAAGTAGTATAAAATATTTTTGCATATTGAACGAAGCTGCTTAACTTCTCATAATTTGGGTTTATTAATGGGAATGTATCGCTGTTTATTTTCTTGTAGATTGAGGTGGCCGGCAGCGTGGGTGATGGCATCCGAGCATGTTGCTGGAGCCCCGACGAGGAACTTCTTGTGATAGTTACTGGCTCGAAAACTGTTACAATTCTTAACTCAGAATTTCTTCCTGTAGGAGAGTTTACTCTCGACCAAGAAAGCTTCGGCAAAGAAGCTTTGGTTAATGTTGGCTGGGGCAAAAAGGAGACCCAGTTCCATGGAACAGCTGGCAAAGAAGCAGCCAAAGTTGCTGTAAACACTAGCGTCAGTCGCGGTCTTGCTGTATACGATGACGGGAGACCACGCGTAAGCTGGAGAGGTGATGGTAAAATGTTTGTTATTAGCTACGTTGACGAAAGGATAAACTCCAGACGACTCCGTATTGCCGACAGGGGTGGAGAATTGCTTAGCACCAGCGAGGACACACCTGTTCTTGAAGCTTCTCTCGACTGGAAGCCAAATGGCAGCCTCATCACCTCGTCGCAGCGGCTGGCCAACAAGTATAACGTGATATTTTTCGAAAAGAATGGACTGCGACATGGAGAATTTTCTTTGTTGGAGCGCGACGGTTACTACGTACGAGAGGTGTCTTGGAACAGTGACTCCTCAGTCTTGATGGTATGGCTGTCCCAGACCGCTTCCACTTGTGATCTAAATTCGTCCTGTAGTACAAATGACTACATCCAGCTATGGACTGTCAACAATTATTGTTGGTACTTGAAAGATGAAATAAAACTTGAAGGAATTCTTAATGTTTTTTGGCATTGTGAAGATTCTTTGAAGCTTGCTATTGTTAGGCAGTCCGGGCTGCTTCTCTTTCAATATTCACTTGCAGTTGATCGTTCAACTTCAGAGAGCGCCGCCAATGAAGCTGTGGTGTCAGTTGTCAGCGGCAGCAGGCTTTTGATGACTCATTTCAAACAGTCGAAAATCCCGCCCCCCTCGTGTGCTTATGAAGTACAGTTCCAGGACCAAGTTGAAGCAATTGCATTCGCTCCCAAACTACGGTCAACACATGATGAAAAAACTGCTGAGGCATTCGTGTGTGTTTTGCACGGTAAAAAGTTGTCATTCCTTGCATCCACCGAAGCGACTGAAAATTTAGATTCTTTCAACACTAAAGTCGACTTCAGGCTTGGTCGATCACCTCTTTTCAAAGTTAAATTTCCTCTGTCTAAAGTGATATATGAAGCAAATCTCCAATCAGAATTGAAAGATTCCAGAATTTACAATGTTCTATGGACATCAAACAACAGGATTGTTGGAGTTAAGTACAATTTTAAGACTGATATACAATCCATACTTTCTGTAAACTTTGTTGGAAATCAAGCAGAAATAAAGGAGGAGCCTTGCCCATTTGGACAAGTGGTTGCGTTGACAAGTTTAGGAGATGAGACCTTCTTCTTGAGCTCAAGCGGAGTCGTCTATAAGTTCGACTTCGAGGGGTGTGGTTGTCGAGAAGTTCAAACACATGATGGGACCAATATTGTTTTCCCATCTCGGTGCCTTCAGTTGACAGCATGCATTGTCGACGACAAAATTATCTTTCTCGGCTGGAATGAGAGGGGTCGTCTTTTTCTAAATAATCAACAACTTTACGGCAATTGTTCATCATTTCTTGTGCACGACGATCATCTTTTACTCACCACTCTTAATCATAAACTCCTCATGCTGCCTTTGAAGATGGAGGTTTTCAATGCTGTTTTAAATAGTTGTGAACAAAGCACTGCGATTGCAGGCGAGCGAAATGTTGAGCGTGGATCTAAGTTGATCACCGCTGTCCCAGGAGACTGCGAAGTTGTGTTACAAATGCCGCGTGGTAACATCGAGATCATTTATCCACGACCTCTGCTTGTTCACCTATTAAGACGGCTTCTGGATGACCGCGAGTACCATCGTTGTGTCGAAATCATGCGTAAACATAGGATCGATATGAATCTCATCTACGACCACGATCCTTGTGCCTTTCTCGCCAACTGTAACGAATTTGTTGAGTCAGTTGATAACGCTGGATGGATTGATCTATTCCTCGCCGGACTCAAGAACACTGACTCCACTCGATCTCTATACGCCTTCAATTACAAGGATGCTGCGCCTAAGCTTACTCCCACAGATCCTAATGCTTCTGATTCCAAAGTTGACACAATTTGCAAGGCAGTACGAGAAGCTATGATCGCGGTCAATGAGAACAAATTTCTACTCCCAATACTGACGTCATACGTGAAGATGGATGCAGGTCAGATGGATGAAGCTCTGCGAAGGCTGCAACGAATGCGCCTCGAAAAAAGCGGCGACATTTCGTGCGAGGAAGGATTACGTCATCTCCTGTACATAGCTGACGCCGATGCGCTTTGTGACGTCGCTCTTGGTACGTACGATTTTGATCTTGTCATGATGGTGTTTGAAAAGTCTCAGAAGGACCCTAAGGAGTTCCTGCCTTTTCTTAATAATTTAAAGAAGATGGAAACGAACTACATGAAGTACAGCATTAACGTGTACTTGAAGCGATACAAAGAAGCCTTCCGGAGCTTACGCGAGACGGGATCCTTGCATCTTGAAGAATGCCTTGCTCTTGTGAAAAGAGAGAAATTATTCAGTGAAGGCCTGGAGTGTTTGAAGGGCAATGATGTCTTGTACGGTGCCGTTACTGAAGCCTATGCTAACTACAATGTAGGTCGGGGTCAGTATCAAGAGGCAGCGCTGCTCTATGAAAGATCTCAGGCGTTTGGTGAGGCTCTTGAAGCTTACCTACAGATTTGCAACTGGCGTAAAGTATTCATGATGGCCATGAAACTGAAATATCAGAAGGAACAAATGCTCGAACTGTATTACACTGTAATTGAAAAATTAAAGGAACGAAAAATGTTTCGCGACGCATCTATTGTTTATTTGGATTATTTGCAAAACGAAGAGGATGCCATTGCTTGCTTAGCGTTAGCATCACAATGGGATGAAGCCGTAGCGTTGTCGCTTAAGTACAACAGATCTGACCTCGTCGAAACTGTCGTCGTTCCTGAACTCATGAAGCAAACCAAAAGCATTGCAGGTGACATCAGTGCTTTATCTGTATCTTTTTCTGAATCCTGCTCCCGATTGTCTGTTGTTCGTGAACTGAAAGAAAAGGAGTATTTGGACTCCTTAGAACATCATGACGACACACAATTAGACGGCGACGTCTATTGTGACTCCAGTACAGTCACTGGGCATTCCACCCGCTCTGCTTCTTCTGGGGCCTCTGGCAGAACTTACAGATCCGCTAAAAACCGCAGGAAACTCGAGAGAAAGAAATTCAGCACCAAAGAAGGAAGCGCATATGAAGACTTGGGTTTGATTTCCGAATTGCATGGGATGATCACTCGAGCCGATGAGCTTGCGGTGCTCGTTAGCAATACACTGGCTACCCTCTTCAGCTTCGGTGAAGACGAGGAAGCCATGCAGCTCCAAGAATCCCTACACAATTTGTATCGTTTGATGGAGATGAAACAAAGCTCTATATGGCCAAGCGAAATTATGGATACCGACGAAGCGATATCTGGTCCTCATTTAACAACAGCTGAGCTTATGAAGTCGCGCATGCTGAATTCTGGGCATGATGCATGCGCTTCTAACGAACGCGTTGTGCGTAGGATGCGAGAGCTCGAGCCGCACTTGAGGTATCCTCCTATCCTCAAGCGGCCTCCCAACTGGGCCTTGGGATTCCTTCAGAGGAACAAACAACTGGGCAGCAAAGCTACTTTGTGAAGAGAATATTCCTGATCGCGAGCTGTATCCGACTGTTGACAAATGGTCACTAAAAAATTTGAATATTGTCACTCAAAAATTTGTATTATATTTATTATATTTTTAATTTGGTTTTATGGTAAGAAAATACAGCGAATTTTCTACAAATTCAGTTCATTTCTCATTGGATGTGTTTTTTTTTTAACCGACAGGAAATGATAGTATGTTGCTAGCCAAGCATATATTGAGGGAATTTACCACTCTGAAATAAATAAATGTACGTGTTAATCTAGATTCTACAATCATGTGTGATTTGAAAGATAAAATGCGACACAATAATTTCTCTCGTATTATTCATATCTTGCTAGTAGACAATTATTCTTCGTAGCCGCTTCTTTGAACTTCACTAAATTCCAGCAGCATATATGATCATGTGTCAGTGACTGCAGCTGCAAAGTCTACCGATGGATACTTGAACTGTTAATTAATCTGAAGCACAAAGCTTCGAAATTTTTATTTAACATCACAGTGCAGAGCAAAAAAGTTTACTTCTGACAAAACCTGCATTCTAATTCCGTTCAGTTGGCCAGATTGAAGACTGTAAGCAACTGGATTCATGCGCTGCGAGCGCTTCCTTTCATGAGCTCTCTGGCTCATTTGCCTTGTACTTTGACCTGGCGCATTGTTGCGACGCCAAAAGACTACGTTGTGTACGCACTCGACGTCCCGTGTCAAGTGACGCACGAGTATTTGACTCCAATTTGCATGTTTGGGCTCCGTGTCTTTTGTGAGTTACAAGCAAACGACACAAAGACTCCGTAATATCTGAGATGCAAGCAAATAGAAGTGGAGTCTGCTGCTCTATTGGTACACTGCTAAGGATGATAAGATTCATGCTACGTTCTGCGATGATTTTTGCTAGTATTTCAGTCGCCACGTTACCGTCGGTTTATTACATGTTCTTTCGAAATGAATAAGATCAAGCTCATATTGTGAAGGAGAATAAGATGCATGAATCTCAAAGCTTGAGCTATACGTTCGATTACAAGAGGATTAGCGCTGCCGATTAAAGGAATTTGTTTCTTAGGCGGTATGAAAATAAGTAGTGCCCATGATATGGATTCTATCGCGTTGCTCATATATTAAGTACCTACCGTGCAAACGAATCATAAATCTTGTAAACGTGAATGGCTTCTAAACGATATACGTATCCCATATAACTGTCGTGCCGTTAGGTAACGAAACACTGACTCAATTAACGAATTATAATCCTATAAAAGCATCGCGTATCTCCTCAGCACAGCAGGTATACTGTGAACGTATGGCGTATTTGCGAAACCTAGCGCTTACTCTATTGTATTCACGACTTCTATGTTTGAATCAAGTGTTCTTGTCACGATCTTTCCATGGTCGAACGCTTTAGTTTAATCTGCGGATTTTGCACCTCACATTTAAGTTACTTTTGAGAAGAATGTTTTTTCCCAAGTGTACGAGTTCCAACTCCCATTCTAATAATCTAAAACAAAAATATACAGCAATAAATTCGGTGTTATTGAAAAGCATGAGGCGGATACATGGGTTAATTTTCCATTGAAAGCATCGATCTATTCATGTATTTTCAGGCTTGGAATGCATTTACTGCATTTGATTCCCTATGGCTCAATAGCAGGTGAAATTAATACCTGAGTATTATTTATGCTGTAATGAATTAATCCTGTCCAAAGTGTTGATATTGAGATGATATTGATGGCTAAGAGGTCACCGTCCAATTGAGCGGCCGAGGGTCGTTTTGGAAAACACGACTGAGCGACAGCATCACAGAGAAGACGAAATGCAGCAAGCGATGTTATAAAGCAATACTCGAAATATGTCCACACTGCTGCTCAAAACAGACAATTTAATTAGCTACGTCAGAGTAGAGACAGCACAATAGAACTCAGCTTTTGCCTCGGCTGTACAACAAAGCGCGACAGGCAATAGAGGATATGAGAAAAAAAGCTCAAGTGAGCGTCCGTTTGTTTGTCGAAGGATGATACTTCACGTAATACGCTTGTTCTTAAAAATACCGCCTCCCTCAACTGGCCTTCGCTTTCAATTCATCTCTAAAAAAACTTGTTTCTTCTAATAAAAGGACGAGAGAAGAAGACTTGTGAAAGTCCACTCGAGCAATTGCTTTGAGATCCCGACCTTTGACCGACAACAATGCGTCAACGAAAGCTCAGAAAAAGCTGCCAGACTCGATTACCTTGATTGAAAAATGTAAGCACTTGGAAATGTTCACACACACCAACGCGTGTTACTCGCGTCGACTGTTGTATACGTAACTTCAACTTACAGAGTAATTATTGTATTTTTTCAGCGTGAAGATAATATATGCAAAATGATAACTGCGTATTTTTCGTAGAAAAACTATGACATGCAGAATACGATCGTTCTTAGGTGGAAGCCTTAACCGAGTTTGGATATTCGAGACTTGAACTTTCGTATAGTTTAGGTGATGAGGAAATCGAATTTTATTATAAAGATTTCGCGTACAGTTAGCTTTTTAAACTATAATAAATAAATTATTTATTAAATATATTTAACAGAATTATATCGAATCATTTGAAGAAGGTTACCTTCGTTATTCATGATTGAGAACAGCAGGTGTGATTTTTAATCAGCGCGAGAAGCATATACAAGTAATCACCATGTATAGGCTGTAACAACGGATAATATTCTCGCTCTGTATAGCAAAGCATATTACGTGGCTGGAGCACACAGGCTGTGATCGCACATTACCGTAATGCTTCTCTTCAAACACTCATCTTAAGCACCCCAATTGAGCCTACTGCTGATAATGTCCGCCATAGGCCTATGCGTGCTCTAGTGCTCAAAATAAATGCCCGTTTGTGGACCTGTTGTCCATAGGCCTACAGTGTGGGCTTGGATAATGCACCCAATAATTTCGGAGGCTTTTTGGGATGAAAAATTATGAGGTATGAGTACGAAAGAGCTTTAGAGAGCAGCCCTAAAATCGCTGGTAATTTTTATTCTTCAAATCAAGAAGATTAAGTGAGCAACTCACTCGCGGAGCAAAAGTTTGAGGGTTGAGTATAAAGAGTGGAAACATGTTGCAGATTAGTGAATGGACAGTTAAAAAAATTTGCAATTGATGAAATTGGAAAATTCAAGAGCAAAATACCGTAAGATTATATCGCAGTAGTAGGAACCTTAACTACCGCAGTAGTGGAACAAAATGCCGCAGTAGTTAGAAGTGCATGCATTACAATCCAAATTTTAATAGTGTGCTTTCATTAATTGTAGTATAGGTTGGCAAAATTTGTTCCTTGCAGGTTTAATTGAAGACCAGAGCATTCGTTAATTAATACATCAAATTTCATTAATTCCTGTATTTCAGTCGAGAGATCTCATTGAGTAATAGAATCCTTTGCATCATAACAGACCAGGTGTATTACGCGAATGTTCACACGCAAGTCCTCTTGTTATGGAATATTCCTGGTGATGGATCATGTCACTCTAAACGTAATTCTACCATGCAATATTATGAGTAAATTCACAGTTCCGGTCCGGGGAATCTGCAGCTTCTTGGTCAACTTCAAGACATCGGAACAAGACGGCATCTGCGGAGCCTGTTGAGGGTAGGCGCGAAGGAGAGGGTAGTGTGAGGGGCAGGCCAAGATATATACCTATGTGTTTAAAGAAATAAGTTTGGAATGGAGATGTGGGAACAAAAGGAAGGGTAGCGAGCGTGGGGCGTTGTGGGGGCATTTGTGAGGCAGGGAGGCACACAAGCAAGCTCTTGCGCCCCGGAAGGAGCATCAACCTGGGTAGGGCATGAGGGCTGTTGGTAGAAATATCTGTAAGGCCCGTGGTAAACTTGCAGAATGCTATAGTAGGTGGAGTTCGAAACAAGAAGCCTAGTGGCTTTTTGCAATGGGGCGGGAACCTCGCATGTATCCTGGTTGGCTAGCATGTATGGGCGTGCTCGAGCATGGGTGGTCAATACTGCAATGGGAGGAGTCCAGCACATGCGCTTTGCGATGCTTTGTTGTTGTTGTTGTTTGGTGCGAGGGTAACGAGGGCAGCAAGGGCTCCCGACGCCTCGGATACACCAGTCGAGTAGCAGGCGGCACGGAGGCAGATCCATGGCTGGCGCTGTCCACCTCAGGCGCGTCTGTAACCAACACCACCGCAGCGACACACATGCACTCCGCAGCTCCCAAGAAATAAAATCTACTATTTAAGAGGATCCAAATGAAATTTATTATATTAAAACTAAGTATAACATTTGAAGTTTAAAAGAATCAATATATTTAGTTAGAGTTGTAACATATGTATATGATTAAACGTTTTTTAGAATCCTTAGAGAATTTGCAATGAAGATTAAATTCAATTTAAATCCTCCAAAGGAATGCGGTTGCAACTATTACATATTCTACAGCGGAATATAGTGAAGGAGAGTTAAATGAAAATAAAGAGTTTAGAGAGGCATGGCTAAAACATAAATTCAGCAGCATTACTTCCACTTCAATACTCAGGATTTAAAATTATAAAAAAATTTTGTCAAAGTATAATTTGCACCCAAAGCAACACATGAATAATTTCTTAATTAAAAACCAATTGGCGGTAAAAGCAAGAAATGGAAAGAGCTGAGTAGCACAATGGTTCATATTTCTAGCAATAAAGTATAAAAAGATATGGACGGTGCATTTAACAATAAAAATATGACAAACAAATTAAATTGAATTACTATTCAATTTGATGAGTGACTATTCAATGCCTATTCAATGAATAGTGACTATAATGAATGACTATTCAATGAATAGTGACTATAATGAAGGAATATTCATTACTATTAAATGAATAGTGACTTTAATGAGTGACTTTTCATGAGTTGTATAAGGTGTCATCGTGAACGCAGTTCTTTCTCAAGCAAGTGTTGATTAAGTGGAGCGACGACGTCACAATTTCAGTCTGTGACGGTCCGGCTTTCAGAAATCGATTATCGATTTTCGTGTCGCTGTTGCTCCGCTGCTCACGATGAGCGTAACCCGTCTTTGATAGCCGCGTCTCCAGAGACCAAAGATGTTGCAATTCTGTCTTTGTCTTCAATATTTCACTATTATCCATATCGTGTAATACTGAGAGAAATTAGTGAGACTTTTTTTCAAAAGGCGACGTACTTTTAGTGCAAGTGTCGGGTTATTTTTACCAAGTTTGGCCCGGCAAAAGAGCGTATTCAGTTTGCTTTCCGATTGCGCAGTGGGTGAGAAAGTGCGCCCCTAATTAGATAATTTTAGCTTTTCTTTTTAATGAGTGTAGAAAATAAGCCCATG